ACTAGATGTCCTGGAGAGCTGAATGGATTGAATTCAGGTAATGTGCACTGAAGAGTGCTTGTTAGCGCTCTGTTAATATGAGCAGTAATCAGCAGAAACAGCTTCCAAGCAGGTTTTTCTCACTCTGGCTTCACCCTTTTGCCTGCCCTCCAGATGGGAGTCAAAGTGAACTTGTTAAAAATAAAACTCACAGCATGCCATTTCCTAATTTTAAATATGCTGTGTCTTCCTGATTCATCATAACCTCAAGATTTCTAGTTTCCACCACCTTAAACTCTCAGTGCATCTTTTATGTTCTTATGTTACAGAATTTACCAAACTAGGATTTATTTGACTACTTATTCACCTTAAACACAACTCTAAAGCAAAACTGACCTCTCATAATAGGAAATGTGAATGGCTTTCCATGTAAACCCTATTATGATTCTGAAACATTAGGTTACTCAATATTGACAAGACCATAGACAATTACAATTACTACCCTGTTATAAATTAGGAACCAGGCATGACAAGCATACAGTATACATGAGCCCAGCCTCCCTCTCACTAAGTTATCAGAGTGGTGAACAGGATGACAGAGAACACCATGATAAACAAAATGACAAAACACAAGTACTGATGAGAAAAAACAGGGATGTTTAGACTATGGAATTTCTGCTACCTCTTCTCTAGCAAACTGTTCTATATATGACCCACTACACAAATAACTGCTCTCTTCTCTTCTCTTAGTTTGCCTGTGTAAGATTTTTAAGCAACCTGCCCCCTCCCCTTCTAAGTGAAAGTCAGGCCTTAAGCATGGCAGCCAAATATTAAGCTATTTGATGACACATCCAGACTTTTACATTAATTCTTAAGGTTTGAAAATTGTGGGAAAGGAAACAAAAAGGCATTGAAAGGTATTTTGCAAAATAAATCTAATGGTTATAATGTAAACACAAAATCACCATGTGAGGTAAAGTTAGAAGGAAACTACTTTGACATTCCAAGCATTAGGTGCCAGTGTGAAGATGGTTTGAGAGAGACAAGTGGATGTGTTTGCGAGACATTTATGAGGTAGGGTGTACAGGACTTGGCTGGTTATGTAGTGGGTGACAGCGAGAACAATAAGGAAGTTGATGGAGGAACAAAGACAGTGAATCTTTTGCCCTTAGCATTCAGTGAAAATATATGTGAAATACTACAATCTAATTCACTGCAGAAGGTACAAAGTTAGTATTGTTACCAGAAAAAAAAAGATGTTAACTTCTGGAGTACAGAATATTTAAAGATATTAACAGATGGACAATTACTCCAATGGTACCTATAGATGCACAGGGTGTGGCCCAGAGGGTAAAGGATAGTCTAGGAAGCTATGGTAGTGATTCAGGAATTTAAATGCAGAATACAAGTCAGAGCCAGTGCTAATTAATATTCACAACCATGTCTTTGAGCTTAAAACATGTTTTGAAGCACAGAGAGAGAAATAGAATAAATGTGAGAGGATCAGCAACTAACTGGAAAAGAATCAGCATAGCCACATCTTAAATGTCTAAAACTAAGATTCGGGATATGATCATAACATCATAAAAATTAGTAATCTGAAATCCATCTTTTAAAGAGAAGGGATATGAGGCAGGGAGATGTCAACTTTGCAGTGTCCTGGAATTCACTGTTAAGAAACAGCTTGAGAATCTAATTGTATAATGTACCACATGTACCACATTTTCTTTATCAATTCTTGGGTTAAGGGACATCTAGGTTGTTCCAGGTTCTGGCTACTATAAATAAAGCTGGTATGAATATAACTGAGCAAGTGAACTCATGGCATGATTGAGCATCCTTTCGGTATATACCCAAGTCTAGTACCCTGGGTCTTGAGATAGATTGATTCCCAATTTTCTGATAAAACACCACATTGATTTCCAAAATAACTGTATAAGTTTGCACTCCCACAAGCAGTGGAGGAATGTTCCTTTGGTTCCACATCCTCTCCAACATAAGCTGCCATTTGTGTTTTTGATCTTAAAATACAAATTTTAACAGGTATAAGATAGAATCTCAGAATCATTTTGATTTTCTTTTCCCTGATGGCTAAGGATGACAAACATTTCTTAGTGTTTCTCTGCCATTTGAGGTTCTTCTGTTGAGAATTCTCTGTTTAGATCTATATTCTAATTTAATGGCATTATTCATTATTTTGAAGTCTAGTTTCTTTAGTTCTTTTTATATTTTGGAGACCAGCCCTCTGTCCAATGTGGGGTTGGCAAAGATATTTTTCTATTCAGTAGCTGCTATTTTGTACTATTGACAATGATCTTTATAGAAGCGTCTCAGTCTCACAAGGTCTCATTTTTTCATTGTCCATCTTAGTGTCTGTGCTACTAGCATTCTATTCAGTAAATTGTCCTCTGTGCCAATGCATTCAATGCGACCCCAATTTCATTTCTATCAGATTCAGTGTACCTGGATTTATGTTGAGGTCTTTGATCCACTTGGACTTAGGGCTTTGTGCATGTTGACACATATGGATCTATTTGCATTCTTCTACATGCCTATATCCAGGTGTGTCAGTACCACTTGTTAAAGGTACTTTTTTTTCCATTGAATACTTTTGTATTCTTTGTCAAAAGTGTACATAAGTGTGTGTATTTATGTTTGTGTCTTTGATTCTGTCCCATTGATCAATATGTATATTTTATGACAATACCATGCTGTTTTTATTACTATAGCTTTGTAGTAGAGCTTGAGGTATCTCAGACAGTTCTTTTATTATATAGGATTGTTTCAGCTATCTTGAGTATTTTGCTTTTCCATGTGAAGTTGAGTAGTTGAGCATGGTTCTTTAAATAATTGTATTGGAATTTTGATGGGGATTGCACTGAATCTGTAGATTGCTTTTGCTAAGATTGCCATTTTTACTATGTTAATTTTTACCTACCCAAGAGCATGGAAGATATTTCCATTGTCTTATGTCTTCAATTTAATTCTTCAAAAAGTTGAAGTTCTTGTCATACAGATTTTTCACTTGCTTGGTGAAAGTTACTCCAAAGTATTTTGTGTTATTTGTGGCTATTGTGAAGGGTGATGCTTCTCTGATTTCTTTATCAGCCTGTTTATCATCTGTATAAAGAAGGGCTACTAATTTTTTTGAGTTAATCCTGCCACATTACTAAATGTGTTTAACATCTGAAGGAGCTCCTAGGTAGAATTTTTCTTGGCTCACTTATGCATACTATCATATCATCTACAAATAGTGAAAGTTTGACTTCTTACTGTCCAATTTGTATCCCCTTGGTTTCCTTTTGTTGTCTGTTGCTCTAGCAAGAACTTTGAGTACTATAACGAATAGATATGGCGAGAGTGGACAGTCTTATCTTGTTCCTGATTTTAGTGAAATTGCTTTGAGTCTCTCTCCATTTAATTTGATGTTGACTTTCAATTTGTTGTATATTGCTTATATTATATTTAGGTATGTTCCTCGTATCCATAATCTCTCCAAGACTTTTATTATGAAATGGTATTAGATTTTGTCAAAGACTTTTTCAAAATGTAATGAGATAATCATGTGATTTTTTTTTCCCAGTTTGTTATATGGTAGATTCCATTGACAGATTTTCATATGTTGAACCATCCCTGAATCTCTGGGATGAAGCCCACTTGATCATGGTGGATGATTTTTTGATGGGTTTTTGGCTTTGGTTTGCCAATATTTTGTTGAGTATCTCTCTATCAGTGTTCATTCATGTACACAATGAAATGTTACTCAGCTGTTAAAAATACTCATCATGAAATTGGCAGGCAAATGGATAGAACGAGAAAAAGTGATCCTGACTTACCTAACCCAGACCCCGATAAACAGACATGGTATGACTCACTCATAAGTGGATATTAACTATAAAGTAAAGGATAAAAATGCGACAATTCCCTCTGGTCTTGCCTTCTTTGCTCACGTTCTCTTTCCTTCTGCCTCTCGTTTGGACCTAGGGAGTTAAGTCCAGTGTTCCTATGTGGGTCTCTGTCTCTATCTCCATCCATCGCCAGATGAAGGCTCTATGGTGATAAGCAAAATATTCATCAGTATGGTTATGGGCCAAGGCCGTTTCAGGCACCCTCTCTTCTGTCCAGAGAACAATCTGGGGATCTCTCCTTGGACCTGGGATCCCATTTGTAATCAAGTCTCCTGTAAACCCTAAAATGACTTCCTTAGTTGAAATTTATTCTTCCCTGATCCCATATCCATCATCCGACGATGGATGGCGATACAGACGGAGACCCACACTGGAGCACCGGACTGAGCCCCGCAAGGTCCAAATGAGGAACAGAAGGATGAAGAAAATGAAAAAGGAAATAAGGACTGCGAGGGATGCAATCACCCACTGATACAAGGGGACGGATCTAATGAGAGTTTACCAAGGCCAGTTGGACTGGGACTGAACGAGGACGCGATCCAACCAGATTCTCTGAATGTGGCCGGATTCTCTGAATGTGGCTGGCCCGGAGTCTTTCTGAAAAGCCATTGACAATGACACTGGGACTTGTTTCCTCTGCATATACTGGATTTTGGGGATCCAGTCTGTTCGGATACTCACCTTCCTGGACCTGGAAGGAGGGGGGAGGAACTTGAACTTCCCACAGGGCTGGAAGCCCTGACTGCTCTTAGGGATGGAGAGGGAGGAGGAGAGGGAGTGGGGGGAATGGGAGGGTATTGGGAGGAGGGGCGGAAGTGGAAACTTTTATGATAGTAATAAAATTACTTTCAAAAAAAATGTGACTATTCACAGACCCAGAGAAGCTAGATAACAACATTCAGACAATGTCTTTTAAACATGAAAAGTTGATTCCTACAATCTTCACTTCAGATGTCTTCTATGATGATTTGGAGATGATAACTAAAAACATTCACTATTTCTTTGTTTTTCACTGAAGGCCTATATTGCTACAATCAGAGCTTGCAAGGAGCCTGAGCAAAAGCACTGAGGAACCGTAGCTCCAAAATAGATGTAAACTCCTTACTCAGCAGCTTATGCAAGTTGACAAATGTTTAATCCCTTCAAGGCTTTCCAAAGAGGATGTGGCTCACTAACTTCTATTACTGACTTCAAAAAATTTAGTTGGAACAAGCTTTCTGAAGGTTGGCAAAGAGAGCCTTATCGCCATGTGGTGGATATAAACTCTGATGAACTGCCTCAGAGACAGAGAAGAGAGTTTCTCCACAAGGTTGCCAAAATGACGAGGATGGGGGAGAAGCAAAAGTGCATCCTGTCTTATTAGAGTTTTTCCACCAGATAATGATCCTGATGATTATAGCAAAAGAAAGACATTTCCATGACATAGGCAGTTGCTTGGATTTGCCATCATTTCTTCCCTTCTTTTGTTCATTAAGTAGTTCACCACTTGCATGACAGAATCCTCAGGGCAAGATTCTGAAAGAGGAATCAGAATTTAATTCTTTTCCACTCTCTACTGCCAAGCAGTTGTGTGTACCTTAACTTTCTTAACCCTCCTGGCTTCTGTGTCCTCAACTATCTCATATGAGGTTACCTTATCTCTCTATCCCTATTATCTATCAAACTGTATGTGTTTGCTAGGAGTAGAAAGTACACTTTAGTGATTAAGTACATTATAGAGTAAATCTCATCTGGACTGTCTGCTGGGAATTCAGATACAGTATTTTTCATTGAGCATTGCTTTCTGGGTAAGCCTATATTTTTTTTCTACAAGTATTAGGTAGCGTCAAGATTAGGTTCAGTGGCTCCTTTGTTAATAAGGAGTAATGCAAGAACAATTAAATACCAAGTAGTCAGCCCTGAGGTCATATGCATGCAAGTAATATTATACAGACTAAGTATACTGTATTTCTATATTTAAGATTATATATCTATATATACAATAATTAAAGAAATAGAGGCTAATTTGAGAAATAGCAGGGTAAGGTTTGGAGGGAGTAAAGTGAAGGGGGAAGTGATCTAATTTTAAAACTAAAAATTAAAAATTAGGAATGAGGTAGAGTACTACAGGCCTAAAGCTCAATTCAACAAACTTCACAACTCTGGAATGCTTTAGTTCCTGTGCATGCCCTTGTCTACTCTACAGTTTGTGACTTTTTAGAAACTAAAATTAAACAGTACAACAGTTAATAAGACATTTTTGTCGCAACTATTTTGATATTTTTATTGCATGTACATGATTGTTTCACCTGAATGTATGTATTCGTGTGCACTGTGTAAATGCAATGTACATAGAGGCCATAAGAGTTGGTCAAATACCCTGGGACTGGGGTTATAGGTGGTTTACGATGCCATGTTAGTACTGGAAAGCAAACCCGAGTCCTGTGTAAGAGAGACAAGTGCTCTTAATCACTGGGGCATCTCTCCAGGCACTTAAGACTTTAATGATTCCAAACTTGTTCTATGTATTTGTCAAAATGATAGCTAACCATCAAAATTTCCAGATTTCTCTTATTTGTTTGGAAAACTGCAATAAACACTATACCAACTCTAAATATTTTCAACATACATGAATCCCCTGATGGTAAAATGTTGCATATACAGTGTTCATTTCTACAATCCAGTGAAGAAATAAAACAGACATATTAAGCTTATCATCACGTTATCACATTTTAGGGGCATCCTATTCTCCTAGAAAGACAGGACGATGGTAGCAACTTGATCACCAGCTTAAATGAGACACAAGAAGGTGGTAGTGATGTGTGAAAGGAAAGTAATATTTTTTTCCAGAAAAAAATTCAAGACAGAAAGTGTGTGAATTTTTTCATTCTGTTACTTTGCTAGGTGAACCTATTTAAAGTAGGAATCCAGTGTAGCTAAAGCAGGAAACGGAAGTCAATTTGTCACCTGGTAGAAAGTTTTCAAAGTACAATGCTAAGTGAATCAGGAGCCTGCTCATTTTGTGGGGGTTGCTTGGTACTTCTTTTCTTTAAGACAGCATGCCAGCAGAAACTCACATAAAGTATACCAGGCTATGAAAACCCTTTGCATGAACCTTTAAACTAAAATTGGACTCTCTCTGTGTTTTCTCATGTACATACTAAATCATTCAATGTGAAACTGACCACAGTTCCATGGTGGGTTGTCTCCTTTTTCTCCCAGAGTCCATCAGTTCCTGAGCTAAAGACAGAGTGCTGCAACTATTCTATTGTGCCTCTTCAGGTAACCATTACTGATGCTGTGGAGGACAAGTAGGTAGCCTTACTTCACAATGTGCGCTGTGAATAAGAGTCTTCAGTAAAGCAAAGTTAAGAATAATTACCAGGGTATCCACAACCTGTAAGCCTTGCCCCTTGAGTAGTCTTTTATTCCACTTAAATAAATGTGTTATTCTCCTCTTCCAGGTTTCCCATATTTTGGAACAGGTTAATTTTTTCCTTCCAATATGTAGGTGGTGGTTACAGTATTAATACTGGCATATTGCTGCATTATTCTTCTGTTCACTAATGCAGCGTACTCTATTGACCAGATGTCTCTTCTTGACCATCAAAGGTAGATACTGCTCCTTGGGAGAAGCCTAGGAAAGCTAAATTTCAGAAACAAAGTAATTAAATACAATTCATCCCAAGTCATAGCGGTGGACCTTAAGGAAAAACATAAGGATTTAAACATTGTCATGGTAAAAAAAAGGATCTTTGCAGATGTTATCAGATTAAGAAGAGATTGTGGTGAGATAGAGTCTTTATGCAATTCCTGAAACATTGATGACAGGTGAGAAAATCATATACAACAAAGGAAGAGACAGATTAAAGATCTACAAATAAACAAACACTAACTATAACTTGCAACCTTGGCCAAAAAAACTGGGAAAGGCACACGGAATAATGTTTTCTTCTATTACTTGGAGGGTCATAACAAAATACTGTAGATTTAGAGGTATAAACTACAAAAGTAAAGAAATTTATGCCCTCAAAATTGTAGATTCCAGAAAAACGAAGACCACAAGGTAACATTAGGTTCTGTTTCTAGTAGGTCCTTTTTCCTAGCTTGTAGATGCCCATCTTCATTATGAATCCTAACATAATATTTTCTTGGAGGAGAGAAGGAGAAAATAAGAAGAGAGAAAGAAATGAAGAGGGAGGGGGAGAGAGAGAGTTTATTCTTTTGAGAAAGTCACTTGTCCTGTGGAATTAATTATGTCTTTATTCTCAGCACTTCATTTAAGCTAAATTAAGTCCTAAAAGACCTTCTGCCTAAATATCTCACACTGGAGAATGATGCCTTGATGTATGAACTGTAAAGGACAGACCTGAGCACATGGTGCTCCCTTATTCCCTCCAGAAAGAACCAATCCTGATATTTGGCATGTCTCTGATTCAGAACTGGGACAATAGTAAATCTGAAATGTGATGAGCCACTGAGTTTTCAGGACTTTAACAACCCTAGAAAATGAATTCAAATTTGGTGCTGAAAGGCTGGATAGTTCTAAAACGCTTTCAGCAGAAAGGAAATCAGCTTAAACTGAAGAGGGTGGAGCCTAGATAAAAAAGAAAGGCTATTGGACTTCTGGAGTTCTATCAGCAGGAGACAGGACAATAAAGATACTCAGTCGAAGACAGCGTCTTTTCTTCAAGAAAAATGATGACTCAAAAGAGGGCTGGGACAAGGCTAGTGGGCTGCTAATGGACCCACAAGCATAGTACAGACAGAACAGGGGAATGGTCAGGACACTGGACAGAAACTGTAAATAACTACAATACCAGAATCTCTCAGTGCCTCCAGAAATCAATCTTAAAAACTATATTTGAACTTCTAATCTCCAATGACTGTTACACAAATTTTCATTATTTTAAGCCATTCATTCTGTGTACCTTTATTATAATTATAGATATAAATCCTATGCCCTTCAACTCAACAAAATATAGGAATTAGACTCCTAGCATATTAAGATAGAAAGTATGATATCAAATTTTCTAATTATGACAGCCTTACAGGCCTATCCCTGGTGTCTTTTAGAATGTAGTTTACATAGTTACAGCCCTAACTGGCAAGCATCCTCATACTCTTTCGAATGAATACTTGAGGACAAACCAGAACTTTTGACAAGATCTCTTCGCATCCATGGAACAGTAATACAAGAATAATTTAGCACACTTGATTGACTTCCTAATATACTAAAAGGCAAAGAAAGCTCTCTAGATGGGTCTCCTTCTTCGACATAAATGTGTTACTGTATCCAAGATCAGAGCACTAATGTGTATTAAGTATACACTTTCAGATTGTCCAACCGTCTAATCACATCTTGTCCAAACCACAATCAAAGATTTGGACGACTGGCCTATGAATTGAAACTAATTCATATTCTCTTTCTCTTTCTCTCTCTCTCTCTCTATATATATGTGTGTGTGTGTGTGTGTGTGTGTGTGTGTGTGTGTGTGTGTCTTATTCTTTCTCTCCCTCGCTCCCTAGATTTTAAGTTAAGATATATTAGCTGAGAAACATTTTGAAGTGTCTTCAGGTGTATGTCTTCATAAATTTAAAAGTTTAGTCAATCATTATGATGATCAGGGAAAAGACCCATCTCTAGCGAAGAACAACTGGACCTGTGAGAATGGAGAGGGAAGTAATTTGGCTTATCCTGGCCCTTCTACTCCTGCATCCAGTTGTAATGTAACTTGAAGTAATGCTGCAAATGAAAAACTCAATAAACCAATTAAAAACCTCAAGGAAAAGCCTCACCAACAAATACCTACAGAGCATTCCATCCAAATACTGAAAAATACACACTTTTTTCTCAGCAGGCAATGAAACTTTCATTTGAAATTTTCAAAATAGACCCCCATATGTTAGGGCCCAACACAAGATTCAACAAATATAGGAAAAGTAAAATCACATCCTGCACTTTATTTGACCACAATGGGATAAAGCTGGATGTCAACCACAGTAGAAACTACTGAAAGTACACAAACTCATGGAAACCAAACAACACTGATAAATGGACCACGATAGAGTCAAAAAGGAAAACATAAAATTCTTATAACTAAATTAAAATGAAAACACAACATACCAAAATCTAAGAGACACAGTGGGGGCAGTCCTTTTTTTTTTAGTAAAGCATCTCTAGTTCTTTGTATTCTAGATTCTTCCTCCATTGGAACAGAATTTATCTTTATTCTAGTCAGTTTTCTACTTCCTTAATATATGTTGCACTTCCCCAACATGATTCAAGTTTGTTTGGAATGATTTCTAAAAGTAATTAATACTTAAGAGAAACATCACTCTCACTGGTCCGTCTTCTGGTGGGTAGAGTAAGAACTTCTCTACGCTGGCCAACTTTAGAAGAACCACAGAATAAGGTAAGGATGTGGCCAGGACAGCAACTGTCAGAGAAATAAGCATAACCTATCCACTAAGCCCTGTGAGTTTGATTTCAGGAAGGATGACTTCATGAGCATCACTGTGTCTTTGCCATCCTGACCTTATTTACAACTCATCAGGGTGAAAAACTCTTTAGGAGGAATGGAGACATTCTCTTCCTATGCTGAGTGTCCACTTGCCACCTTCCACACATTGGGGAGACAACACTGGCCTTCTAAAGAAGTTAGTGTTGTTTGTGGATGAGAAGACATTGACTAAGAAGCCCATACAACTGAACAAGACATTTGAGTCTCTACATATCTGTTTGACTAAACTGGTAAAGAGTTTCTTATCTCTTTAAGGGAAAACTAAGGAATAACACATTATTCCATATGCATTGAGATTGCTCCCATTGTAACATGCCAGTTTATTCTAGCATTGAATCTAGAATGCATCAAAACCATACTAGGTTCTAATATACATTGAGGTCTTATATTGAATGGGGGTCACCAGGACTGTAATCTAGAACCCAAGATTTGGGATGTGTTGTAATACTAGAAATTGGGGAGGGGGTTGAATGGGAATTTTGAATTCAAGACTTAGAAATTTATAATTTTAAAATAAGGAAAAGATGAAGCACATCATACTTTATCATGAGCCTTTGTTGTTGACTGTGATAAAATACTCTGATTAAAGCAACCTCATGTAGAAAGGATTTTGACTCATGGTTACATGACATGGTCCATCATGACAGGGAAGCCTGGTGGTAGAAGCCTGCAGCTGCTCATGCAGTATCCTCGGTCAGAGGAAGCAGAAAACAGTGACTGCTTGTGATCATCTAGCATTCTCTTTCATTCAGTCCAGGATCCTAGCCTACAGGAATACCTGCTTGAAGGATGGATCTTCCCACCACAGTTAAGACTAATCAAGATTATCCCACCATCGAGTACAGGGGCTAAGCCAATCTAAGTATTCCCTCACAGGCACGGCCAGAGGTTTGTGCCTTGGTGTTTCCAGATGCTTACAAGTTGACAATATTAACCACGACACAAGGATTTTTGGCTTTTACAGAAACTATCCATTGCCTGTGTCTAGTCCTAAAAAAGAGAGCATACAATTCTATTTGAAATTTGAGCCCTGGACTGGGGTCAGTTCCATGGGGCATGATACCTGCCTGGCCTGTTATACTTTCAGCAGGAGGCAATGTTTACTTTCTGCTTTGCTTTTCCTAGATAAAAGAAAAAGAAATCCTCCCTCAGAGTCCTTTCAAGGTTTCCGTGTAAGAGGTCTGCTGGAAACATCATAAAGTCTGTTTTACAAGAAACGTATTGTTAAGAGAAGTTAGGAAATAACCAAACATGAATGCGTTTTTCAAGAATGCCAGGTTTGGACTAACCTTAAAAGAGCAAATGGTTCTATAAATTTTTAATCTTGAGCCTTTCCAATCCAAAAAAAAATCTTATAATAAAGCAAATGATTTTCACATCAAATATTGGATTATCTGCCACAAGCAATTAACAGTGTCATGTGACATGCCCTACTTTAGTTCTATTTTATGGCAAAGGCATTCCATTTTTCCACTTCCTTCATCAGAATAAGGAGAAATAAGGAAAGAGAGAAATAAAGAAAGAAAAAAAAGGAAGGAAAGAAGGAAGGAAGGAAGGCTGACTTATTGCCTATTTGAATCCAAAGCTGCCATTCAGATAACCAAACTAAACAGTCCATTTAAATAAGTGTCTGAGGGTTGTTTAACACTAACTTGTATGATTATCATTACATATTCCCTTTATAAAATTAAGCATAAAATATAAAATGGTAGAAACTTTGAAGTGTTAGGGATAAAACTTGAATTTCAGATAGTAAGGAGACTTATCTGGCATTTTGCAATACTTCCCAATTCACCATATTAATTCTTTCCCCCCAATTAAATTTGATCTAAAGCATAAATCCAGCTGAAGTAAAACAAGAAGAGTCTGGGAAATCTCATTTTGTTAAATACTGGAAAAGAAAATAACAATGAAATGCAAATGAAGTTGAACAATCCATAATTTGCAATGCATGATAACACTTGAAAGTTAACTAATGTCCAAAGAGATATTACATGCTGGAATGACAGCAGCTAAACTGCAGGCAAAATGTACAACTGAACTCCTAATACTTCAAGAATTTCTGTTTTCCTCTTACAGGGTGGCAAAAATCAGAATAATCCTTTGGTTGTGTGAAATTAGA